CTATACAGAGCGGGCGACGTGGCCGCAAAACTGAAGGGTCAATGGAAGTTGCTTGTGAGGGCTAGACTCACCACGGGACACCCATTTTATGGGGTTTAGGCTTTCAGAAAAAAAGATATGAATTTTTGAAGATTTTTAAAAAACGAAAATATGAAAAAAAAAACGCCCGGCAGCGCATGTAACAGTTAAAAAAAGCACCCGGCAGCAATAACACAGGGCTCTGCAGGTATGACGTTAAGTCTTTAAGGGCCGGCGACCACTTAGACCCGGTTTGAAAAGGGCCCCCCGGTAAGCTCGTCCTGTTGCAAAAACACCTTTCATATTGGCCTGGCTACCGGCCTGGGATGCTCAATCTGGGATGCTGGGATCTGAAACTTCTCCATCCTGGGGTCCATTGTTTGCAAGTACTAGTACATGTAATCTATCCCAGAAGGAACCTGCTTGTGGTTTTTAATCCTTCAGCACTATACAATGTTACACTAATCCGCTTAGACCCTTATTCATCTGTGGAAGCATGGTGGGGGAAGCCTTTCATCAGGGACTTTGAAATGCCGATGTGCAGATAGGCCTGATACCGGCCTGGAGTAGCCTGAATACCGGGCAGGCATTATACAGGGTGGGCTACCGGGGGGGCCCTTTTCAAACCGGGTCTAAATGGTCGCTGGCCCTAAGGTATTTGTTGTCTTTCATGCTGATATCCAATTCTAACTCTCCGAACCTCTCCATTCAGTGCATCTGAAATAGTATAGTCTGCAATACTAATATAACAAAATCTTTATAGAATTTGATAGCTTCTTTTAGGCTAAGTTGGTAAAAGGTATTATGCTAGTATCTTTGACTCTTGTTGACTAGTTGTCGGTAATGCTGCAAATTCATATAAATTTTCTTTCTGAAGGTTCGTACCTCCACAACATGATTTCTCATGGTTGACAGTTTGAAGTCAAGATTTTCAAAATTCTCTTCATTGGGCTTCATACTTCTTTGAAGCCATATTTTATGGCAAACAGCTTGAAGCTGAAAGGATGCTGAAAAAGCCATTTTCCCTTGTGTATAGATTTGTACTGACCTCTACCCAATACGCCAAAATCTAGAATAATTGGCAAAACCATGAAACTGACTAGTGCTTCATGAGAGATCCCCACCAAGGAAATAAAACTGGCAATTGTTTTTGTAGAAAACTTAAGCACTCATTAAATCTGTTGAGTGAGTGAAGTGTGTGCAGAAGAGCTTTAAGTTTCTGTTCTGGGGAGCTCTCATTTGGCTTAGTGGCTGACTATGAACCTGTACATATGAAATCAACAAACTGAGCAGAACAACCACCAAAACTTGATTCACTAGAAAAGCAGTAATGTAGTGCACAACACAGGATTCATTATTGAAGATTGGTCCAGTCTAGGTTC